TCAAGTTTTATAATTCACAATTTCCTCACAAATCTCCTGCAGATTATTAAGTTCCAGCAGTTTAACTTTTTGCTCTAGCATTACATTTTTTGAACTCTTGCAAAACAATCAATGTTACTTCATGTCCAGGATGCGTTTCAATCCAAGCATCGATATCTTCTGATTTCGGCATTTCTTCCATAGGTAATATTTCACCAGTAGTTGCGTCTCTTATGCGTATCCGTACTTCAGACTCACTGCTTTCTGCAAAATTATCGGTTCATCGGTTATGCAACACAATTTTCTTCCTTAAAAACCGACGTCATTACGAAAACTTTAACAAAAAGAACCTTGCATCTTTTCTTTTCTTTTTGCTCACGGCGTTCATTACGTTTTCTTCGTTTCTCCGTTGCTTGATGTTGTTTGACAAGTCCTGTTAAACTTTCTACGTACTCATCGGTTTGTTGTAATAAGAAAACCAAACGTTTGTCTTTCTTTTCATCCAACAACTGTCTAAAAATTATATGTATGAGATTTGAGTTTTATCTGTAACGCGACATAACTTTTGCAACTAAAAGTTATTCTGCTCAGAAAAACAAATTCTGGAAATGCACTGTACCTGTAACCTTCCTCATCTTCCTGCATTAATTTTTGCATACGCATTCGCTCATTTTTCAGCTCGTCTTTTTTTCGTTCTTTTTCGCTATTGGCATGATAGGTTAGCACAGCCTTCTTTATTTTACTTTGCTTGACCTAAAAAACTGGTTCCATCCTCAAATACAAAATTCAAAACTTCTGTTAAATAAGTGAGAACTTCCTCGAATCAGAAAACCACCTGATTATTGCGGTGGTACTCCTTAAATTCTTTTCCATGTTGCAGAATTGCTTGTAATAAATCATTGTGCTTCTGTCGACGGCGGCGCTCTTGCTCAACTTTTTGTTGCTTCTCTAGTTTTTCAGTAACTCGTGCTTCACGCAAAGATTGTCGCTTGGTTCGACGATAAGCGTATGGATTGAGCGCAGTTTCAAGTGTTGTATCTTTCTTCAGCTGACTCAAAACTTCATTCCGTACCTAAATCATGGGAATTTAACAGAAATATATATAAAATTTGGGAAATTTTAATCCATGTGGCTTACCTGAGTTTGTAAGTTTAATAAACGAAGAGCACGGAGCTCGATTTCTGCCTTTAATAATAATCGTTTGCTTAAATTCGCAGGAAGATTGCTAAGCCACTGAATTCGTGCACCAATTCTATTTTGAATTCTGCAAAAAAAAAAAAAAAAAAAAAACAATAAACAATACCATTTTTGAAACCTTAAATCCATTCATTTTTGAAGTTCTAAAAACATTCTTTTAACTACTGCAGGACAATTCTTATACTTGCTATCTTTTGTACTACTTTTATACAAGTTGTGATATGCAGATAAGATGATAGATCCATCCTATCGACTTACTGTCATATTTTCCTTCGAATAACTGCATGTAAATGGTATTATCTGTCATTATCTTTTGAACTGTACAGCTAATTGCTTAGCAACTCTAAATAACATTGATGTGCCTTAAAATCAGATCCTATATGCACCTGTATTCCCGTTCTTTTAGAATTGTCTGTGGATCGACTCCTGGGGGAGGGGGAAGACATGTACTTCGGTTAGCACGTTGCTGGTGCAGCGTTAGAATTTTCATCAAATCGTATGGCAGTTTCTCGCCATTTTCTGTCTCAACAGGAAATTCGTAAGGTTCAGGAAGCAAGGAAGATGGCTTCGATATAGATGAAGCGATAAGAGCTGTTGCAACCGGTTCCTGTGCTGCTAGCTGTTTATAAGCACCGATCTGTAAATAATAAGTTAGCAAAAGATGCTACGGAAACCCATAACTTGAATGCATATCTAAAACATACTTGTGCCTTTAGCTGTTCCAGCTGCTCAGATGTAAATGTATTTTCCTGCGATTCTTTCACTGCTGTGTCGACCGGTTGATGATGTTTCACTTCAGTCGATGGTGTTCCTGAAAGATGAAACGTTTTAAAAATTATTCAAATATTTAATCAGATCTACGGTTCCACTTTTTCCTGCTTAAATAATTGAACCAATTAATAACTTCACTTTATCCTCAAGTGTTAACTGATTGCTTCTCTTCAACTAAAGATTTATCACTTACTTCTTACCAAAAAGATTTTCCCGAAAAAATTTGAGGTTTATGAATATATTTATTTCTGATGAATATGACAATACAGATCCTGTCAGCCTTATTTATACCAAATGACCAACGAACCTGTGATTTTTTGTTTCAGCAACAGCATCTGTGCATAACGTGGATCTGCAGTCATCTGTTGCTCTTCCATGCTTGCTATCGAACTATCCAGTTTGGCAATTGCAACTTCTTCCGCGGTTATACCATGCTGTAAAGATCCTTGAACAAACTGCATCTGCGCTTGTTGCTGCGGAGGGGCTGTCGTAGGTGAATCGGTTCCCCCAGCATACTGCATTGGAGGTACATAACCACTTGATGTACCCATATATGGCTGTCCGTTAATTCCACTAGAAGATGTATATTTTGGAACACCGTCGCCCATTTTCAGCTATAAAATAATGATTGCATCAATTATAGCAGTTTCCGATGAATGAAGTGCGTAACTCACTATACTTCCAGTTGGACGCCATCACACTCATACTTCCCTCTGTTATGAACTTCCTTCCGATAGTGAACAATACAATATGGACTTACCACGGTATCTATTTCGCAGAACGAATTTCCTAAAAGGAGAAGTTATATACCACAAAAGTCATTACCAGCAAATATAAATGGCAAAAGTATGACATTTTGTTATAAAGGAAATGCCATTCGTTTACATATCAACAAGAATTTTATGTATATCACACCATTATTAGCAAAATATCTAGACTTCCAAGAGCAGAAAAGAGCGATGAAAGAAATATAAGGGAAGATTACGACTGAAATCTCCGAAATATAAGTTTTCTAATATTAAAAATACCAACTTCTACTTATGAATTTCTGAGGCTAATTCATTAAATCAAAAACACCAGCCTCTTATATATCTCTACCTGGAGAGGACGTCTATAAGAGAGTGAAAATAGTTCTCATGAAAAATCTGGACCTGTAAGTGTTACCGACAAACCTCTTCCACATGACTCTGCTAACATTCTCTAATAAAACGATATTGACCCCAAAAATCTATCAGATAACTAACGCAGATAACTAAGGCTCCTTCCAACGTTTATAAAAATACAGCAATATATTTCCCTGCTCACGTGCACAATACGTCACTTATTGTCACCTTATTGTCACCCCCCTCCCTTCCCTCTCTCACGAAACTTGATCTTCTATCGATCACTCCGTCCATCCGTATCCAAACTTTGTGTCATCGACTAAAGGCCCATGAGTGAAAACCTGGCGTCTCAATGCGGATATCCCTGTTTGTGACATTCACACGTTATTTTTTCTCTTTATCTGAACTTTAATACTGCTTGAGGAGGTGCGAGTTTATCCGTGACTCAAATTAATGTATACTTTCGTTCCCTTTACCGGATGATAACATCATCAAGTCATTAGTAAAACGTTAAGCATCATTACTTACTAACGTCCTTTTCTTTCAATCACGGTTACACGCGATTGTATATAATATGTTTCATTCCCTGACACATATTATTATACTATTTAATATACTTTCAGTCTATCACTTTTAATTCTTTTTACAAATTCATTACTAGTCTTTTTGAAATTCAAAAATATCCGATTAAGCTTAAGGTACCACTCTAAGGGAGGCACGGATGAACTTCCCATACCTCACATCTTCCAGTACGATTCACAATCCGAACTAGCAGCACACGGATTGAGATGGAAATGCACTTGATTATGTCGAACGAATTACCTTTTAATTTGTGTATGATCACTTTATTTGTAATTTATTAAAATGGTTAAAATATCCCCTGAAAAACATCTCTGCATAAAAATAGGATTGTTATCTCTGAAACACTCAGACGTAAGCACATCGAACTGTTTTTCACTGACCATCCAAAGCATCTCCCGTTGCCCAGAAAATCCATTTTAAGTGGCAATCATGATGCATACACCCGTCTCACTTTGGTCACTATTTTCTGGTAAACTGTGAAAATCTGGCGTTATGAATGAAATTGCAACATTGTACATTATCTGTTATATCGATATTATCTATATCCTGGTTTAATTAAAGAAGTATACAGATTGAAATGCTTTTACTGGCTAAGAATATTGCCTTACGTCAGTGACTAAAGTCACTGCTGATCAAATAAAACGAAAATTTCCTAACAGAAAGTTATTTACTCAAGTAGCTTTATTTGATGATTTTTTTTTAACTCTTTAGTTTAGTATTGTTTGGGCAGTTTATTTCATTTTTTCTATTTAGTGTGGCCTTACAGTTCATCAGAACTTGCAGTTAGTCTTTGAATGACAACTTCTATAGGTTTCAACTTTGTATACAAAAGACCAATTTCGAAAAAAACCTCAGTGTCATGAACCTTTTTAACATCTATACTTTCTTCAGTCCTTGCTACAACACCACAATATATTTACTATCCCTTTATAAATTTGTTTCATTTTTCTTCTTTTATGAAATTCTCCTCGCAAAAGACGCCTTATAAAAAAAGTGTCCTGAGAAATGATAGAGTATAGCATTTATGATTAAACAGTAGCGATAATCACACACGACTTGGATGAACTAATAAAGAAAAAAGTGGCTTTACTTGATATGTGCAAGGAATTCCAAAATACAACATCAGATCAACGCATGGAAAAAAAAGAGATGGACTGTTACTGGATATGAATTTAGAATAAGAATTTGTTATGAAATAAATATACAAAAAAAAAAGAAAAAAATGAAATGTTGTCGGAGTAACATCGGCAAGAAAAGGTTCCTGAAGAATATGAAAAAGGGAAAATGTCTGATAAGAGGAAATTTTCGTCCTGAATTTCAGAGTATCAGAAAATAGAGAAACCGATATATTTTAGAATTGAGCAACTATTACACCGTAATCGGCATCTGTTGGTAGAAATTTCTCTCAATATTAAACTTCGTTTGCAACAAGATAGCTCTATCTACTAGACTGATCGATGTATTAGACATTCGTGATGTTGTTGATTCGTTTAAACTGATACCTTCTCTAAGTATCTCATTCACCATTTTCATCACAGCACCTTTTGTTGCTTCCGTGAAACTGTTTAGTGATTGCAGCGAAAGACCAAAAAAATCGATATGTTCATGAAACTGCAGTGTCTTTATTTTCATTAGTCCTGAAACAATATCAGAATTTATCTTGAGATTAAGCTAATTAACAGTAATGAAGCATTCATATGTCTTGACACTATTCCTCGATCCAAACAAAGAAAAGTGATAGGCTGGATTTCAATGAAGTTGGACTGAGGATAAATTGAGCCGTATGTTGTATAATAACTCTTTAATTAATTTTACTTGCATTACTAACCAGCAATACGACCAGGTAAGTTTGTAATACTGCACTGTATCGTTGTACTGAACGGTATTACACCAACTGCTTCAGTTGTCCCTTCAACGAAAAATGTCGCCCATCCTTCGAGTGTCACGACAGTAGCATCTGGTTTGCGAATTTTATAGTGCCAATTCAAAAGTTTTCTATATTTAGAAAAAGAAGTCAGGAATTTTCAAACATTATCAGCTGTGTCGAATAAGACAAAATTTTACTTTTCCTCGATAAGCCATGAGGTAATCAAACCTGCCGAAATCATTGCCTTAGGTGGTTCAGTTGTACGCAAGATAATTTCAAGTTGCTTATTTGGATATGTTTCGGCAACCTCCGGAATAATATCCGATAGACAAACTTCATCCATCCCACACGATGTACGTATTAATTTACCAAGCACAGGTGTTGCCGAACTCACGCTGAAAACCAGTGCACCAATGCTGAAAACGACAATTATGAAACAGCTAAATTAAAATTCAATTTTTTACTTTGCTTACCAAGAAATACGTCATTCACTGCTCTTCTCAGTAATGATTCTATAATAATCACACAGTTATTAAAAGTCTTTGAAATAATCAAGTTTAAAATTGCATCTAGCAGGGAGCGCAACTCGGTACAGTAAGCCGGGCGCAACGTGGTACAGTAAACCCATATCGCAAGGACAGTCTTAAAAAACCTAAGCATGCCAGTTTTCCATCACAAAGACAATGTTTGATTCCAAAATTAGACTGTTCGGAATTCAATAGTATAAAACGTCTAACAGTGAAGATTTAAAATTTAAAAAACACCGATGAAACCCAGCTTAAATATTTCATCGAGCTGGATCTCACAAATTTTAGCACACTGAAACTGATGATCGTGTGCGTATCTCAGAAGCTCCAAGAAAACCGAAAAAACATTAGTACCTCAAGCTTACTATTTTTTACATCTGTAAATGGTCTAAATGCAGACGTAGGAAACGTTAAACAATTGACACTTCATCATTCACTTTATCGAATCCTTACATATGTGCTTTAAGAAAGAGCGTGTTGATAGTGTATTCTGATATCAGCAAGCCAACATTACCTCCACTCATTATTTCACTGAATCGTAACATTTCGGGTCGTTCATAAGGATTCTGAAATAGTTATTTCTTCTGCATACGCATAAATGGGAATTGAGAAGCATCAGAAGAATTTTAATATATAGCGAAAAGTTCGGATCGCAATTATAGTACTCATTTATATGATATCTCCCAATATTTGATTGATTTTTTATATTTTTATGTATTTTAAATCTCAATAAATTCAGATATTACAAGTACTTATATTGGAATAATTTCAAAAATAACAAAGGAATTTTTTAAATAATAGAAATGATACAAATAGTTAATTTTGAAAAGTTGTAAGAGCAGAAAATCATAAACAGAGCTATACGCATTTATGAGTTGACATAGACAAAGAGAAAAATAGAAATAAATGAATAAAAGAAACCTTAGTTTGATCATACGTTCTAATATACACATCACCATCCAGACCGAGAAAAAATCTTCCATATGTTGCACTAGTGTCTAGAATACTTAGCGAAAGAATTAACAGAGCTAGCTTCTTCCATGAATTCTTCCAACTATTATGCTACAAACAAATCATTCTATGAATGAAAATTATTGAAAGCATTCAAGAGAAAAATAGCATATATTAAAACTGAAGATACTATAAATTTCGAGAAATTTTAAATAAATGAAAGAATGAAAATAGAACTAACAATACTGGAAGTAACTTCTTTTGATTTCTGAAGTGGGAAGACAGACAATGAATTTAGAACATTTGGCTCTGTCTTATTGTCGTAGGAAGATACGCTGAATAACGTACTAGACCTACTAAACTGTGATTCTTGCAGCATACCTCCATCAGAAGTGATTTGTAACTCAGGTTGCATTGGAGCTGCAAATATCAATCATACTGAGTAAGGTATTTAACCAAATGGCGCTAATGCATTTTTGAAAAAGAAGCAAAAGACAGTTATTTTTATTTAAATTTTTCATCAAAATATCTAGAAATGAGAATGATAAATTGAGATTCATTTATCATGTCAAGAAAAGATGATATTTTTTATAGGGACAGGCTCACCCTCCAAATAGTTTGGCTCGGATCCCAATCCTCTTTTCATCTTCTGGCCACTTATGTCATCCGATTTCTAAACAACAACTTCAAAAAAAAACATATAATACTCGATAGTATGTTACAGTATTTCATACTTGACAAGTTCCCGGAAGAAAACACTCCTAGCAGCATAGGCCTGATCTCCTAATCTATGCATTTTTTTTTTTTAAAACGGTTTGCAGAAATTTTGCAATTTAAAGATCAAACGGATGAATGCTTCTTTTTACAATGTATTCAAAAACTGATTCTTTATAATAAGACTAGAAAGAGTGCGGTAAAATAAACTTATTTTAAAAGGAAAAAGGATTAAGTGATAGAAACCTCGAAAAACACTCGATATAAATCAATGATTGATATCTGATTTGGTATCTGAAGCAGTTCACTACTCAGTTCATTGTTGACCACATTATTCACTGCGATGCAAAGAGTTTCTTCTAATACCTGCCGAGCTTTTATCGTTATTTCATGCTACAACAAATCATGTATGAATATTATTACTGTATGCAATATTTTGTAATCTCTCTTGTATTAGCAGATACCATAATTTACCGAAAGCACATATTAGGAAAAACTAAAAACCTGTGTATGTGTGGTTATATTTTAGGACAATATATATTTTAGAATTCTTTTTGAAATTTTGAAATTATGATTCATTTAAAAATTGTTAAATTTTTGTCCAACCAGCAAAGATAATGAGAGAGAGAGAGAATGAAAGTGAGTTATTCAGTAATTACCTGATACTTGGTATTGACAATAATAGTGAACAGGCCCATATTTTCTACCCAAGCGAGAACAACTTCATTAATTAGAGAACAACTGACTACTCGAACGTACGGTACATCATCTATGGTCTTCTGAATATCAAATGTGGCCTCTATGACAAGCTGGTTAGCAGATATTGCTAATGTACCATATGTTGGTATTGTCACCGGAATGAGTGGCAATGGTTGTAAGTGCCCGTATAACGTACCTGCGATGCTTTAACATTGATTTTAGTTGATAATTTGATTGCGATGAATAACTAAAAAGATTGCAGCATTTTCCCATCTCACTAAATTAATGATCATTGGTAATGAAAGTCACTGCATTACTTAGAACCAATTCTCTTTCTTGTAAATAATGCAGGTGAACGTAGCCGAACTTCATTTTCCATATTTTTATTACATTGAAGTTGTACTACAACCTACTAAAAGTTAAAGCCACTAATCCTAAGTGTTAACAGATTTGGTGATGTTGGCACCACTCCAATGTATGATGGATTCTGATGCGCAACAAGCTGGAGATTCTGAATTCTAACACATCCTTCCGGAAAACACTGCTGTTGCGACGGAATCATCACTCGTTTAACATGCTTCTTGAACAAATATTCTGAAATGAAATTCTAATCGATTTTTATCAGAATGTTTTGGACTTTGTCATCGACTGTACGACCAACAAATACTTGGATCGCAGAAACATTTCCACTTTTAGTGTCTATAATAGACCTTACATTGTTTAACAATATGCAAGAAGAAACAAAGAATACCGATTACTCTGGACAACTGTTGAAAGACATCATCACTGAAGCGCACTCGCAAAGCAGATTGCAGTGGAACAAAAATTTCACCGGGAGTTCCGAGACATTTATTGGCACTGTTTGCTAACCACAATGCAATCTTGAAAACATAACATTTACACTCACACGAAATCCAAAGGACATCTCTTTGCCGTTAAAAAAAATTTCACTTCGAAATTTCATTTTGTTGTAAAAGTTTCAAGCTTTATCCAAAACAAAGGAAAATGAGTTTATCAAAAGAAGGTCCCAATTTCACAAACGAGAAGACTAACAGAAAGCATGACAAATCATTGATTTGACGTTTGGACTAAAACATCCTTCCCTGCCAATCTCTAGGGTTTAAATCTAAAGGATATTTGAAACTTAATTTTAAAAAATCTTGGCCAAGTGTCGTTTCAGAATTCCTGGAATGTACGCTAACACGTTGAAATTTTTAACAGTTGACATTTTTAAATAGAAATATGCTTACAACAATATTTCCTTTCGTTAATGAAATAACAACATATTGTATATTTAGCATACTACTACATTTTTTCATAACGAATCATTTGAAAAATGTCATCGGAACCCACAGGTGTATTTGTCCTATTTTAACAAACACAAGACGATTGTCTCTTTTGACATCATTTCTTTTCTTTTTTTTCTCTGCAAACTTACCGTGAGGAAGACAAGATGATGCATTTGAGAACGGTTCCGAATGTATCCCATGGCACAACTCAATTGCGCTCGATTTTGATGTTCACTTGACAACTGCTTTAATTAGTTTCCAACTTCATTAAACTTCAAAAAAGGTAAATACTTTTAATGAAATCACACGTAATCAGAATCAGAGATCAAGAAATGGTGAATTAAAATAGTACTGATAAGTGAGAGGTTTAACGTGCAACGATTACCATTCTTACATTGTTCAAATAAAGAATTTAAAAACGAAAAGGCTACAACGAAGTCTAAGCCTGTCTTTTTAGCCAAACATCAAACAACTGGAGCAAAAGGGAACAAGAACAGATAGAATCTGGCAATATATGTGACAGGGATCAGCAGAACAATTTGAGTGCAATATATGGTCTCTCTTCTGTCCTTCTTTACAACCTAATTATTGATGATAACTGATAGTTTTTCTTTCATCTTGCTATGAAACTAATTTCAAAGAGTGGAATTTTTTAATTTGAAATTTTAATAAATCAAATTGAAATATTCAAAAATATTATGTTTAATGATAGTTCAGTCATCCCACCTTTAATATTCAATGTTAGAAATTTACTCCCATGCAATATTAATTTGTGAACAAAAGCTTGAACTACAGAAACAAAACAGAATGATTTAAAAACCAAATTTCCCTTTTGAAATTCGCAAAACATCTTATTCAAGTGTTGTTAAAAACATAATTTAGATATTAACTGCGAAGAGTTCCAATAAATATCATTAATTATTGGCATCTCAACTCACATATGCATAATGTCATATATGCCTTATTGTTTTTGTACCCATACTAACAATCAGCCACTCAGTACGGAAATATAAAAAATCGGGATACATGTGACTGACCCTAAATTAGAATTCCGTTGCGTAACAGGTGACGAATAGATGTAATTGCCAAGTTTCACAGCATCTTAAATTATATGAATATTCATGTCTTAGATTGTTTAATGGAACTGGTTTTTGTGATGGCTCTCAACATATCTCATTCATATCACTGCATCTTCAAGGACAAATATTTTTCCGATAAAAATTTAACAACCGATATGATAGGAAAGTAAAGGTCATAGAGAAAGGAGGTGGACTTCTTTCAAATGACTCCTACAAAGTTGCTACGTGTTTCCTTGAGAATTTCAATTCGAATGGGAATTGACATTTGAATTTTATCTCACCTCTCACTTTCTCTCTTAGTGGTGACTGTTCACTTAGTGTTCTGTATATCATGATGTGCGAAAGACAAGCCTCTTAATACGTTGAATTCAGTTGTGAAGTGGTGCTGCATCCTCAAATTAGAAATTTTTTTTTCCGGCAAACGATAGTTAGCATCACTATTAGCATTTCGCGCAATCCCGAGAAGCTTTTCTTAATACGGACGCGAAAAGATGTTGCAGTAGGAATCTTTATTGTACAAAAAAGGATCAACGATGATAAATAATGAAATTGAAGCAAACAGGAGAAATTATGAGTGAATTTGGGCAATTAACTATTTTGAGAATAGAATTAATCATTCGAAATCCAACAACGTATTCCTTGATATCACATCCATAACTTTATATAAACTGAAAAACTTTGCACGGTGCGAAAAAATGTTCGTTCTTTAATATTGACCTGTGTACATGTGTAGATTCACATCACCTATGATATCTCTACATACTTTCTTTACTACTACATGAAGCTTTTTAAGCGCTAATAAATCTTCCAACGTTTATCAAGAATGACTTTAAGCGAAGGCCACAATCGAATTCAGCGTAAAGCAAACTAAGATTAGCCATCAGCTAGGACAGCAGCCATCAACAAATACTTTAAACTGAACTATATGGCATTGTACTCCTGAAATCACTTGCTCGGCAACTTCACTACACTTTATTTTTCCCCCAATCTCTGAAATTTTAAAATGAATTGCCTGAATTCACCAAAACTCACCTTTCTGCCTCGCGATGAGGTAATCTAGTAAATGAAACAGGAAGTACAACCTAGTACATGTCCCCCTATCAATATTCAATCTGTAGCCTTAAGTTACTTCAGAAACTTCAAATGAATTAGCAGTAAAAAAATAAACCAATTTGTCCAATATGGAGAAAAACTGATAAAAAATCACTTGTCTCACGTTATGAGCTAGAAATTTCAAGTAAATTTACAACTGAAAGGAGTTTGTATTCCTAAAAATTTTAAAAACTAACATACTCTACGATGCGTTTGCACCTATAAATACATCTAAAGAATGTGAAAGAAAGTTCTAAATTAACCGTGGTTCATTAACGAAATTCGTCAGAAAAACAATAAACAAATTGCTGAAACAATAAACAAATTGCGAATATATAATGTGTAAAAAAATCTAATAAAAGGAATTTCAAAAAGTGGACAAATTGTGAGAGTGACAAAACGAATCAAAGGAAAACGACATCTGTTGAAACTTGTTTAAGGAATGATAAAACTTTGTTGATATTTCTCTCGCAAACTTCCACTTTTCCACATTGCAGCAGAACATTCCAATTGTACATCGCCATTTTTTACACCCAGACGAGGTGTTCGCGCTAACCTGGCTTCTTTCGTCATACAATTCAAACAGATTTCCAAGAGAGTTCACATAATACCAGCTTTCTGTTTGAAACAAATATTATACAAATGACTTTGGAAAAAAAAGAAAGTAGTCAAAATCTGGCAAAACAAAATTATGGGAGATCAATACATACAACTGCATTAGCGACCAATAACGGAAATATGTTTTAAAAAATAGTTGAACAAAAAATTTTAAGCAGATAAAACGGCCTTTTGAGAATGAAAATTACAAGGCAAAATAAGCTGTAGCAGTGGTGATATAATAAAAGAGGCAGTTCAAAATTCTGAAATAACTGATGAGGAAAATTTCCTGAAACTGATGAAATCCAATAAAGGGTTTTAAAAAGACTTGCACTCATAACCTAACACTGAGGACTACAAAAATGAGCAATGAAGTCATGAAGATGAGTGGTAGCAATTATAAATGTCTAGGTTGCTGCTGAAAGATAAATTTGGAATTGAAATGAAATGATGGGTGTGAAATCAGTCATCGAAATTAAGACCTGTTGGTCGAGTTCTCCGGCGTTTGCTCGATTCTGGTGCTGAACCATTTTCATGATTTTCAGGTTTCTATAATAAATGGAACTTTAAGAGAAAACAGTAAACAAGACCTCTAAATGGCCTTTTGAATCATTCTGTTCTTTTACCAGTACAACTTTTAATTTCTAGCTATTTCTACAGGAATACAAAACAGAAAACAAATCCTAAGTGATTGTCTGGATCTTTTAAAAAATTTTGATTCAACAAAAACAGAACAACAGTGCAGGCTTATCAGTTCATGGTTTCTTGATAAAACAGGTCGGAATGCGCAAGCCATTTTATGCATAATAATTCAATATTAGAATACATTTGGGAGCATTAACTCGAACTTGAATTGAAGTAATTTAGTTTAACTACTGGTCAAGTTAGCCTGCTTACTGACCAAGTTACCTTGCTTACTGTTCAATACTAAACAAAGCAACATTCAGATTTTTTTTAATTACGAAAAACTGTTACAAAGTGATCTTGAACATTGTAACATTAAAAAAAAACGCAACTAGGATGTGGAAATCTTCAAGACACTATACCCTCCTCTTCTGCTCATTCTAAAGCTAAGTTTCTAATGAATTTTAACAAAAATTGGCCTATTGGCCTTTCTTTAAATTTGACTGACTTCGTATTGTTTTTCGAGCAGCTATAAGCCCATCACCTATTATATTCCTCAGTTGTTATCAAGACTATAATACACCATGCATTCTTTAGCTTACGCTCAAACTACAATATACCATACCCCTCTATTTTGTCCATTCTGAAGCAATTTTTTACTATATTTTAACAAAAATACTTGCTTTTCTCTGATCTGATTGACTTCGCATTGTCTTTCGAGCAGCCATTTGCTCAACATCTGTTCTATTCCTTACCTGCCGCTCAAGCTACAATTCACCTGTTGATTAAACTTCAAAAACATTTCGACACTTCAATATACAATAAATTAAAACGCTTAGTTTGATTTTTCTAATTAAAGGAAATCCTTCTTGCAAATTTATCAATGTTGCCAACAGTTGTTTGAAGAATGGTAAGGTTTAAAGCAATGATCTCATTTCATGATTAAATTATATATGGGATTACTTCCAGAATAATGAAAAGTCTCTGTCTTTAAAATCAGCACCGACATGAGAGACACTAACAAAAGGAGTAGAAGCCTCTGCAAATACCAAATTTTTTTTAACGCTAAAAGAAGGAACCCGAATTTAATCATAATAAAAACGAAGGCAAATATAGAACATACCAAGCGCAAGTAGGCATTAATAGTTTCCTCCAACAAATCAGCAGTTCTTAACTGCATGTTCACATCACTAACACGGTTCAATTCAATCCTATGAACAACATGCACTAGAATTAGTTTATCATCCGTCACTTCGGATACTTTCAACGTTCTTCTCATTATCATTTCTCTGAAAATATGGAAGCTTAAATTTTCACAAACTTGTGCGGCTGAAAGTCTTGAATGTATCACACAGCAAAAATATTGCATCGAATTAATCCAAATCTTTGTAGGTACTGATGTATACTGTTAAAACTCTGAAGAATAATATATGCAAGATTAAAAACCGCAAGAAGTATTAAATACCAAAACTATCTCATTCCTCAAACTTGAAGTCAGATCAAAATTTTGAAAAGGGCTTAGCACATTTTCCTGAATCTAAATTAGCTCAGTAGCTATTGACATTTTTGCTGTTACGTATTTGATTCGACTCATTGGGTTATACAGATCTTATATTTGAGTATTAGCTTCGACACGAGATAAAAACGAGCAGAAATTTTGAAAAAAAATCTAAGCCGGACAGTATATACTTGAAATATAAAATAACGTTTAGCTTACAAGTAAGTGACTCAGATCTCCGTAATTTGCATGATAAAATATATAGAAAATTGAGCCGTAACAAATGAATCGAAATCAACGGTTTTACTCCATGATTATTGGGAAATCTCTCAGAACTTTCTTTTTTGAATAACCTATTAATTTAGCGTACATTAATATGTAATCAAATGCGTGCCCGTTACTTAAATATATTTCACGATATGAAAAGTCATTGTAATAAAAATCGTCAAAGGCCCGCGGTGTCATTGAGGTCTCATCAAGAAAAATGTCAAATGAATGTTCGCGATCAAAAAATGCATTTAGAAGTTTAGGTACTATTATAGAAGAGCAGCGCGCTGAAAGATCTCTTGAAGGTTAAAATACCGCTACTAATATCTAACTGCTGACAACATGTGATATGTGCACCTATATCGACAAAAATTGCAGTTTCTAAACCAAGTTTTTTGAAACCGTTTATTTTTTCTAACCTCTACCTGCTTTTAACAAATAAGCAAAATGATCATTATAATGGTATATATATATATATATATATATATATA